AATGCAATAGTACTGAGTTTTAAGTTCTTAAGAGACACGTACTTCTCTTTACTCACTCTCCTCTGGCTAGGTAGGTCTTCACCGATTACTTTTTGCATCAAAATAATTTCTCTTTCTCTGAAATTGGCATAGCAGAGTGTACCCAATAAGCAACACCTACATTTTGCATTATTTATTTAGTTGTCATTATTATTATTATTATTATTTGTATTTGCATTACATATATACTCACTCATATTTACAGACACGTCCCACTCCAATTCATTATTCCTCCAAGTAATTCTCCAACAACCACCATGTCCACCAAGGACTGCGGCCACCACCACGCTTCGCACCGCCGTCTCATCCGCCTCGTCCTTGTCGGCGTCGCTGCCTTCATCCTCGTAGTCCTCTTCCTTGTCTTCCTCATATGGGTCATCCTCCGCCCGGCGAAGCCCCGCTTCACCCTCCAAGACGCCACCCTCTTCACCTTCAACCTCTCTTCCCCTATCCCCAACACCCTCTCTCTCACCATGCAGGTCACCCTCTCCGCCCACAACCCCAACTCCCGCATCGGCGTCTACTACCACGCACTCCACCTCCACGCCTCCTACCGTAGCCAGCAGATCTCCCTCCCCACCGCCCTCCCCGACACCTACCAGGGCCACCACGACTTCACCGTCTGGTCGCCCTTCCTCTACGGTAACACCGTCCCCGTCGCGCCGTTTGTTCTCGCCTCCCTGCAGCAGGACCAAAATGCCGGCACTGTTATGGTCAACGTTAAGATCAACGGGAGAGTGAAGTGGAAGGTCGGAACTTGGGTCTCTGGAAGGTACCATATTTATGTTAACTGTCCCGCGTATATTAGCTTCGCCGGAGATCGGAGCAATGCCGAAGGAGTGAAGTTCCACCTCTTGCAAAGTTGTAGCGTTGATGTGTAGAAGAGGTTTTCAGGTTTTGTTCTGCTGCTTCAACCATCTTTTTCACCAGTGTTTTATCTTTTTTTTTTCTCTTCTATTTGTTCTTAGTTTTGTATTTAAATTTTTTAGAAGTTATTACTTGGATAAAGGTTACTTAAGGTTTATATTGAAATAACTATTCTATTTTCTACCTCAATTTCCACCAGTTTTGTTTTCTTTTTTAGTGCAAAGAGAGCAAAAATTACATATAATTACGGATCAAACATTTTTAGTCAAGTTTTACACGGTACATTTAATTTGGGTCTCTGAGTGTTTGGAACCTATTTAACTAGCTAATTAATTAATTAATCTTTGAGCTTAGTTAGTTTTGGATTCCCACAATAAAAAATTACAATAAATTAATATGATACTATCTTATTTTAAATAAATAATGAAAATAAGTAACTAAGTGATAAGGAAGGTATATTGACTTGAAATCCATGGAAATTTGGTGTAGGTTGTCGTGTATTATATGTGCACTTGACCATGGTTCTCTTGAAGTTGGAGATTGCATCTTGATCCTTTACTTCTACGATTCTGTTTTCTGTCTATTCACAAGATATTAGAATTTCATGAAAATATAAGAAAGAAAAAAACAAACAAGGGAGTACCCATTTTTCTGACATATTTAATTGTACTTTGAATTTGTTTCATCAATGTTTCCATCGCTTTAGGATCATGTCCTCTGTTTACGCAACACATAAAAAATAATCAAATTCCATAACCTAGTATTTAATTTAAGTTTAGAGCGACGACACGTGCCTCATGGGTTAGTTTTAATTTTCCTTTTACTAATACCAAAGGTAGATGAAATTTATTCATTTACATCGTTTCCCTCATAATTCAATTCACGATCTTAATTTTCAGAAAAAGACAAAGAAGAAATTATTTTTTTTTTGCTTTGGGGGACCTCATTTGCATGTGGAAATAAAATAATGGAAATAGATACATTTGAAAGACAAGTGTGTTGCATTAAGATGGAAAACAGTTTTTTGTTTTTTATTTTTTAGTTTGTCATGAATATTTTCAAAGTCATCATAGACTAATTATAACTTGTAATATTATGAGTATAATATATCAATACACATGATTAAATGCAAATGAAATGAAACAACTTTGTGAAAAGTAAGTTGAAGAGATTCTAAAAGGAAAATGAATTAACCAGTTCCACCAACTTTCCACTACCTCAAGGTGTGGTGGGTCTAAGGTGCAAAGATGGAGGTTGGAACTTTAAAGCATTCTCCATTCCCTTTTAAATGCATGATCATTTATTCATCATCTACCACCGTCCTTTCATCTTTACTTCATTCCCTTTTTTTATAAACAATCTATCAAATCTAAGTCTTTTCATTGTGAACATTCATAGAATAAACAACATCATTTTGTTTTGTAGATCATTGCATTAACTTCTTAGTCTATATCATATAAAATTGATAAAAAAAAGAGATAAATCCATGTATACGTAAGGAAATAATATATTAGAAAAACATATTATTTAACTTATTTTAGAATGTGTTTAATGGAAAACATGAACCTAAGAATGGGTACAGTAGATTGATAATTGAAAATTTACATCATAATAAATAAAACTCAGTAAATTAGTATAAATATTAGTAAATTAGTATTGAAATGTGGAGAATTTTTAAAAGAGAACTTGAGATATACAACAATGAATATAAATTTATCTTATTTGAACAGACATCATCTTTAACTTCAAATATTAAAACAATGGATCTATGAAATCTTATATTTTAAATATTCATATATATATTACTATATTATATAACAAAATCTTAGTAGTTTGATTATATTTATATAATATTTGATTTAGTATCACATTATTACGATTATTTTATTGATTATTATATATATGGTAAGCTATTATTTTTATTGATGTTATTTTATATTGTCTATTAAGTCATAGGATCCAGAAACTTTAAAGATACATATGGTGTTTTACTAGGAAATACACACTTTCTCATGCTCTTTCTTTTATTTATAAATATCTAAGTTTCCTTACTGATTTGAGCCTCAGAAAGTTTTTGTATGTAGATCTTCTTTTGTATTCCAACTCTCTGGAGCATACATCAAAATTCTCCAATCCACTTAGATCTTACCACTTGTCCGAAGGTCCATGTTCCAGACCACGATAAGAACAACTGACACCCACCATAGGACCCTGATAAAACTTTTTCTCAGTCTTACTCTTCCATGGTCACCACCCGAAGTCAAGCCCAATTTGTGTCACGAGATGGAGTTCAACTCAATGATGACCCTTCAAAATCAAATGCAGATGCTAATTCAACAAAACAAAGAGCAACACAAAGGCTACGACTTTAAGCTTGAAGCCATGTGTGTCAAACATCAACTTGACCTACAAACATTGAACCAAAAGCTGAGCAACTTGGAGAATGAGAGGTCTCCTCCACATCCCCGTCCTCGGAAAAAGAACCCTCTGTCAATAATACAGACTTGACACTTAACGACAAGCAAGGAATCTCCTTTGCAAAAACAGCGCAATAAAAGTCAAACCTTGATGTGTATGGGAGCCTTCAGGAGGAGGGTCATCACTATTCCTAGGTGGAGCGCAATTCGGGAGCACTACAAAACTCCCCAAAAATTATATCTAATTCGCTCGACACGAACTTGAAAGATCGAAATAGGATTGAAACAGGTCAATCTGACACAAAACTAGAAAAACTCGTGATAAATCCTCCCACTCAAAGCTTATATATATATATATATATCTATATCTATATATATATATATATATCTATATCTATATATATATATATATATATATATATATATATATATATATATAGATATATATATATATATATATATATATATAATTTTTTTAAAAAAGTTATTTTATTAATTTAATATTGAGAAGTTTTCTTATATTTTAAATATAGTTTTGCTATTATTGTATCATACTTGTAATTATGTATATTTTTTTATAATTATGTATTAAATTGTTTTTAAGATATACACTTTAATTCTTTTTAATAATTTTATTTATTGATTATTTTTATCATATACAAAGTATTATTTTGATAATTTTTTTTATATAATTATTTTTTTCTAATTCGTTCTAATAAGTATATGTTTATATAATTGTATCATTGCCTATTATATAAAAGGCATTTAATTTATTATAATATAATAATTCATTGTTATAAATAATTTTATTATATTAAAATTTGAAAACTAGTTATTTATGTTTAAATTCAAATTATAATTATTATTTTTTTCTCAGTGCAAGTTTAAGCGCTATATTAAAACATTTGTTAGTATAAATAAATATCTCATAGTAATTTAGATAAAGAGAGTAAAAATAGACATGTAAAAAGAATAACATTCGAGATAAAGATTTACAATTACAAATCTTAAAAACAACCAACTCCCTTTCAATGTATTTGCAACCTATAAAATTTTATCTCCATACATGAGTATGAGAATAATCTTTGCTTTTACTTCATAAAAGAGGGAGAAACATTCAAACATGCGCATGTCTCTTTGTGATCTCTAATTAATAATTATAAATAAAAAATGTTTTTATTACCAGTTGTGTTAATATGGTGTAAGCCATCTTTAAAAAGGACATTTAGAACAATTAGTCCAATTCTACTTACACTTCCCTTTTTTTTACCAATACACTCCTCCCGTTTATTTTCTCAAACTATTGGTTAGTATCACTTTTCCCATCACTCCATCTTGTTTTTCCTCATATTTAATCCTCTTCCAAAAAAAAAAAGTCATGAATGTTTTTCTTTGTGCTAATTATCTTTCAAAAAAATACGAAGTTTAACTATCATATGGTTAATTTTTGGGACCAAATCTTCGATATAGTACGAGAAATGTGGTTTTATTTTTCGGTAGAAAGTTGCCTTGAGTGCCTAAATGCATTTGGATCCCTTTGTGACGTTTAGGTTGACCAAATGCAAGTATCATCTCAGTATTAGGTGGCCAAATCTTAAGAAAACTCGAATAAATTTTTTGGTTGTCATCATTATCTATTTATAGTAATAATAATAATAATAATTCTATAGTAATAATTACAAAGGAATAATAAGTGGAGTAAATAACACCATGAAGTATTATCTTTACTTATTTTTTTATTATGTTCACTTTATCTTACGCTTTTTTGGAACCTAATGGAAGCTGTAAGTACATAACATTCCCATCATAGTTTTCGACTTTTCGGTAACTGTACCATATGATGACAATGCTTCAGTTTTCTATGTTATCTTTTTAATTTTCTATTTTCATTCTCATCTTCTTTGCTTTGGTGGGTTCTATAAAACAGCAGTGCAAGTTAAGATCGAAACAGCCAATTTTACCTTTTTTTTTTGTCTCTTCCTCAAGTATTGAAACTGTTTACTTACTACAACCAAAACATTTTTTTGTGTTTTTTAAATATTTTTATTTTTTCTTCAATATTTTCTTAATTCTTGGTGAAAATATCAAGATTAAAATTATATTCTTGAAGCTTTCTTAAAATTACATATAACTTGTTTTCACCAAGATATATGTGATGAGTCGAACTTTGATTCGTACAATGATTACTTTAATCTGAGTTTTGAAAAGACCATTTTAAGTCTCTTCATCTTCTAACTTAACTTCTTTGCTAAGTCATTGCTCCTATCTTCCCTTCTCGCCTCAGGTACAAGTTAATCTTCTTCTGCAGAAAATATCTTTTTTGTTTATTGTTGCTTTTTTCTTTTTATAAAAAATAACCATGTCATTATTTCTCTGAATAAAACACACCAACGTATGAATGTAAAATATACTTAGAAAGTGTTACTGATATGACATAAAAACAAGAATACCATCCCATATTTGAGAACTTGTCTTCACTCAAAGTGTTTCTCTTTATCTCTTTGTCTCTATTTAAGCAATTCATCGATCAGAAACTACTGGAAAATTAATAGCTATGGGAGTGCCTGCGTTCTATAGATGGCTGACTGATAAATATCCCAGGGTGGTGCAAGATGTAGACAAAGCCATGCAAGACCCAAATGGAGTGAAATATGATAACTTGTATCTTGACATGAATGCCATCATCCATCCATGTTTTCACCCTGATAGTAATCATGACGATGTTCGTTACTCACTTTTGTTCATATACTTTCATTTTATTTATTCTTGTGCTGTTTTTTTCTTAAGAAGTTCATGTTGTCATTAGATTCCACTTCCAACAACATTCGAAGATGTTTTCAGAAATGTCTTTGACTACATTGATAGACTTGTCGACACTGTTAGGCCTCGCAAGCTCGTCTACATGGCTATTGGTGAGTGAGACACCAGACTTTCATCATTAACAACTGAACTTTGTTGATATACTTCTTTATTTTCTTGCGTTAGCAACTGAACTTTGTCTTAGAAATGCAATATCCTTCGGTTATTAAGTGTAAAAGTTGAGACACCTTCGCATGAATGCATTGTGTTTCAGTATCTTTGCTTGTCTTCTAATGAAAAGTTGAACTAAAGAGGTTCTGTGTTTCTCATGCACAGACGGGATTGCCCCACGTGCCAAAATGAACCAGCAACGTTCAAGACGATTCCGAGCTGCTAAGGACAAAGAAATTCATGTGGGTTATTATTCATCAATTATTATCACTGTCATAGTTAAGGCCTTGAATTTATCTCTTGTATCTGTGTAGGAAGCTGAGGAAGAGAGGCTAAGGAAACAATTTGAAATGGAAGGGAAACAAGTTCTTCCTAAACAAGAGTCTGAAGTTGAAGATTTCAATGTTATAACACCAGGCACTGAGTTCATGCATGAACTCTCAAAGGCACTTAAGGGCTATATCTCTACAAGGATAAATTGTAACTCATTATGGAAGGATATTATGGTATGACATGCATTGTCCACATTTCAGAAAGTTCAACTACCACTAAGAATGCTTCATTCGTCCTTGCTTAATATTTTAAATCATTGTTATTGTCTTCTTTTATATCAAGCTAAATATTATTGTTTTTTACCTTGTTAATTTTGAACTTAGGTGATTCTCTCCGATGCTAATGTTCCCGGGGAAGGGGAACATAAGATTATGTCATACATACGCAAACAGCGTACTCTGGAGGAGTATGATCCAAATACCTGTCACTGTTTATATGGCTTGGTGAGTAAATCATAGTAAAAGTTGTCTGACAAAGTGATTGTTTCTTCTGATATTCAATATAAAGACTATTTTGCACTGTAATTCAGGATGCTGATCTTATAATGCTTGCACTGGCGACTCACGAGCCCCATTTTTCAATATTAAGAGAGGTGATGTTGATATTAAAATATATATATATATAACTTGTGTAGCTTAGCGTGAAAAATTAATAAATAGTGTATACACCTATAATGTCTGTGATTGAATTCTAACTTTTGTACTTTCATTTAGTTACAAACTGCTATGCATGATAAATTTGTTAATTTTGATCATAACTATCTTGAGAGTTATGTCAAGAATGATTTCTTATTGGTTGAGACTACCCATTACAAAGGAAAATTAAACTCTTGAAGATATACTATTTTACTTTTCTGTACAATATCTCACATTCTAGACATGTACAGGATGTCTCTTTTCAGCAGCAACCAAAAGTAGCTGCCAAGCCTTTCAAGGTATAATAGTTGATTTACATTCGTCAACTACAGCTTTGTTGTTTATATGATCATGAGTCTTATGAGTTTAACTGTGCAGCTTTTGCACATTTGGCTACTGAGGGAGTATATTGAGTTAGACATGAAGATAGAAAATCCTCCAAAAACTTGTAGCGTTATTAAGCTTGAGAGAATAATTGATGATTTCATCTTCATGTGCTTTTTTGCTGGAAATGATTTTCTGCCCCACCTGCCATCTTTGGATATTCGTGAGGTTTGTTGGACATTTTTTGAATATAAAGTATTAATGCATGGTCAGCTATATCATTACTTGTTTTTCCCAATTTTTTCAGGGGGCCATTGATTTGCTAATGACTGTTTACAAGGAAGAATTCAGTACTCTTGGAGGACATCTAGTGGACATGAACAGGGTAACACTGTTACTGTCTCATTCCTTCTTTTGTATGTGCATATCTTTTTCTTTTTTCTGTTACCCTTATATCCCAATAATCTATTTTACTTAAAATCGTTGTGCACCTATGAAAGCAGGTTGGAGAAAAAAATGCTGCTTTTATGAAGTTATCTAGAGTTGAAAACTTTATACTTAAGGTTGGTACATATGAAGAGAAAATCTTTAAGAAAAGATCTGAAATACGAGAACGCAAATTGAAAAGGCTTATTCGAGATTATGAGGATGCCGTAAGTTGAAATATATTTGAAAAATTTACACATCCCTTTTTATTTTACTGTAAATTTGGGCTCATGTGTTTCCCTGATTTTCGATGCAGAGGAGGGAAGAAAAGAATGAAAAATGTTTCTTTGATCTTGACGATGAAAATACTTCTGATTGCACTCTTCTGATCAAGAAGGCACCAGATTCAAAGTTGTCTCTTTTGGCGAATAATGTTTCTGCTACACATGCTGAAGTAAGTTGTTGTATTGTAAATCAGGAGTTTCTGTCTTCATTTATACAGTTTTGTTGACACCTTTCATGGATTCTCTTACAGCAGCATATTAATGTTGAATTGTTAATAATCTTTTTTCTCCTCACTGTCAGATTGAGCAAAACACAAAGGATTTAAAAGATGAATTGAAGAAAAGTATTAGACAAAAAGGTGACTTACTTTTGAGTGAAGATTTCTTAGTTGACAAGGTATGCACTATATGAATTAAATTACAATACATCTAGTACAGTCTAACTAAATTAAAGATTTACATATGTATAGTAAGTTTGTTGATATTCATTATAAGAATGATATTTGCTTGGTAAATCATGTATTAAATTATCTTTCCACTAACATTGTCCATGAAAATTAAGCTCCTAAACATGCTCTTTTTTATTACCTTTCATTACAGATAAAACTTGGAGCACCTGGTTACAAAGAAAGATATTATAAAGCGAAGTTTTCTGTGGAAACTCCTACTGACATTGAGGGAAAAAGGAAGGAAATAGTATGTGGCTCTACAAACAACTTTGCCAACTGTTGTTTGTTTGGGTTTGGAAGACTTTTCTTGTTTTACCTTAAATATGTTGCACTAGCAGGGTCCCTTTTGCTATTCAACTTTCAATGTTGGTAGTGGTGGTGATAGATTGCAATTTATTTGTAGGTCCAGAAGTACACTGAAGGATTGGCATGGGTTCTTCAATACTATTTTTCAGCAGTTGCTTCCTGGACATGGTAAGCCAATATGGTTTAATTTATATATATAACTTGAATTTTAATGTGTAATGCATTATACAAATATGGAAAAATACAAAAAGACATGAACGTTGCAATATACAGGTTTTATCCGTTCCACTACGGTCCATTTGTTTCAGATTTAAAGGGCATGAGTCAAGTGAGAGTAAAATTTGAAAAAGGTGTCCCATTCTTACCACTTGATCAACTTTTAAGTGTTCTCCCTCCAGGAAGGTAACTTTCTTATGTTGTCCTATTTGCCACTCAATATATATATATATATATATATATATATATCCATTACCATGATGATATCTAATTCTACTTTTGTGCAGTGCTCATGCTCTTCCAAAAGCCTATGCACAACTAATGCTAGATGAGAAATCTAGAATCCTTGACTTTTATCCTCAGGGTAAGCCAGTTTATCTTGTTTGAAGCATTTTATTCAATTTTTTTGGTTCTTTTTACTTTGTTTTCTCTTTCTTATCATTGCTTTTTTTGTTTTTTAAGATTTTGAAGTTGACACTGAAGGAAAACGCTTCACCTGGCAGGTTATTTTACCATGTTTCTTCTATTAATTCGTATTGTTCCTTTTGTCAAATTTTGAAGGGTAATAAGTACTGATGGAAACAAATGTTTGTGTGTCTTTTGCCTAGGGAATTTGCAAACTTCCATGGATAGATGATACCCGGCTTGTGGCTGAAACCAAAGAACTCAAAAATGAATTATCGGTGTGAACTACTAACTTGATAAGTAGCATAGCACACCACAAATTTACATACTTCAATTGCTAATATTTTATGCATCGATCTCCTCAAAATCTCTCTTATTGTGTTTTATAGGAAAAGGAGGCCATAAGAAATTCACTCAAGGCTGATAGCTTGTTTGTTAGAAGCTCTAGCAAATTAGCAGAGAAATTTGGCTCTCTATCTGTTGACCCAAATTGCAAGATAGACACGAGAATAAGGTTCTCAACAGACTCTAACACAAAATTACAACCGAGACTGACTCAATAAACCTGCTAAATTTTGTGATTTCTAGTAAATTTTTTCTCTGATCATTTTTTCATGGCTACTGCATGTTTCTTCTTTAATGATTGCAACCTTGCATGTACTTTTCTGTGTTGGAAATAACCCACAGTTCAATGTTTCCTTTTTGTTTTCTTGGTACTTTAGCAGTGATGGCATTGGGGGTACCATAAGTCCTTGCCATGAAGAAGCTTGCTTGGACCTTTGTGACAACAAAGAAGATCGTGTCTTGTATGCTACTTAAAATCTGAACACAGTTTTCATTTTCTTAATTTGCATTCAACTTTTGAGTAAACTTCCAATAACCGTGACATCGTTCATGTTTTAGATGTGTCTATTACGAGCTTCCTGCTGGTAGTAATCACATTCCTTGTTTACTATCGAATGTGAGCCTTCCAGAGAAGGTAAAACTAAAAGAACTTTCTTTTCTGATAAAGAAAAAGTATGTATATTGTATAACATTTCAAATTTTTATAGAAAATCTTTGAAGGTGATATCATGGAAACTGAACTCTGGCATGAACGTCAGAGAAATTTTAGTCGTTCTGAGAGGTACTTTTTTTTCCCTACATTAGAGCATGTGGGTTTCGTATCTCAGACAAAATCTCTTATCTTTTAACTGGCCAACTTGATAACTCAGGGTGCAAACTCAAGACAAATGGAGGAGTGAAAACAAGAGCAATAGTTCAAGGGTTTTCTCACATTCAAGTAGACAACATGAAAGAAGCTTTTCATCAAATGGAAGTAGCCAACATGCAAGAAGCTTTTCATCAAATGCAAATAGCCAACATGGAAGAAGCTTTTCATCAAATGCAAATAGCCAACATGGAAGAAGCTTTTCATCAAATGCACCTTCCTTTATACACAAAGGTGCTGGTGTTGGATGGGGTTCAGGTAGAGGGAGAAAAGTTGATACAGTGAAAAATGAAAGAATTCCTAGTCATGAACAACATAATGATGCAGGCTCCTACCATGTAACAACTACTAGTGACACCACATCGCAGCTCTTTGTGAATGACTTTAGACAATTCAGAATATCAGAGTCTGGTCGCATGAATCAGTCAAAGAATGCTTATAATCATGAAGCTTCACAATCTGAGAGACCTTTTGGTCGGGGACAAGGTAGGGGTGCATCTAGTAGCATTTCATTGCGGCCTCAATGGAGTGGTGCAACATCTCAGCAAGGGAAAGATCGTAATCGTTGGTAAAATGTTGTTGCTATGAAATAGAAGAAAAGAAACCAGGGGTGTTGACTTTTACTTTGACCTTGTGGCATTGTGGAATACTTTTTTGGTTTTTGGTATAGTTGTATATGACTATTTCAGGGTACAACATTTTACAGGGTGTACTAATTTTATATGTCATGTTCATCATGATAAGGTCAACTTTTTCTCTTTTTACGGTTACTTCCTTTTTTGTGATTTTTGTGCAAACATGCTTGCTCCCTTTGTCTTACACTGTGCTAGCACATGACAATTTCAGTATTATCTGGATATGTTATTTTTTGCTGCATCTTTTTTATACTTTGCTGCTACTTTTTCTTAAAAGAAAATAATTAGACCATAACTTGTAAAAGTTGCAACTTAAACGAAAATATTTAAACTAATTATTAATGTTATTAAGAGTCATCACTATCAAAACATTATCAAAAGTGTAAAAGAAAACTCGTTTATAAGAAAATAAACTCTTAAATAAGTTATATCATCTCTTACGCCATGCGTTTTTTTATCGTTGTTTTTCTTCTTGTCTTCCTCTCTTGCTTTTTATATGTATTATGTGAAACAGATAAAGCATTAAATAATGGGTCATTATCATAATTTATCTGGTATTTGGTGTTAGATGCATTTTTTAATCATTCTTAGCTTTGATTATAAGGTCAACCTAACAAATTTAATTTCAGTTTGATGCATAATCATCACTTAATTTTTTAATATTTGTTATGTAACACAAGCTCTAGTTAATTTTTTGGTTAAATATGTTTTTAGTCCTTAAACTATCAAACGATTTTATTTCTAGTCCCTTTTCCAAACTTTGGTACACTTTGATTCTTGAAAAATGTAATTGTTTGTCCTCCATGACCAACGACGTTAATTTTTTTTTAAGTGGCTAATGGTGTGCCACATGAAAGACCAAATCAAATTTTGTTTCTGACTCTAATTAAAATTAAAAGAAAAAAAAAATTAAATTGTAGGGTCAAAACTGGAATCATTTTTTTTTCTTCGTTCAAGGGTTATACGGGCAGTCTTTTTTTTTTCATCTTCAACCAGCCATGGCCAACACCAGGTCGATCTCCAACTATTACACTCATTTTCTTTTACGGGCACTTTTTTCCTTTCATCTATCTTCAACTCAAATCGCAACATTTATCATATATTTTTCACTGTCTTTCACTTTTTTTTCCTTTCCCTTTCCCTAAACCTATTCCCCCAAAAATCGCAAGCACACGCATCCACCCAATCAACCAAATACGTAATTCCTCGCCCCTAAAAAAAAAGAACTTTTTAATATTGATATTACAAAATCTGGCTTCAATCATTACACTATATATATGTTGAATGGAGTTGTAGGACACTTACAAGGAAAAACGAATATAGCATGAATAGTTCAAGTAATGAGTAGTGAGACTCAGCCTAAAGGTCGATGGACGGAGAAAGAAATTAATAGATATGGATGAAAGATCCATATTAAACCAAAAGAAGGAGATTTGTGTTGCACTCTTGCAGTCACCAAGTAATTAAAAAATTTCAATCCTTTGATGGATGATAGTATAGTTAAACCACTTCGTTCAAAGACATTTGGGTACAGTTTGGAATGGTGGGACTTTACAGTTATCTTAAAGCTTAAATTTGATTGAGGATGATAATATATGCATCGGATCCTGGAAGAATAGCTCCTTTCCTTGGATATATATTGAAGATTCTAGCACTAAAATGATCGCAGACATTAAGCATAGAAAACTTAATGTGATACAATTAGGTTTGCACTAAGAGTTGATCAATGAGAAAGACTTCAATAATTTAGATTGAAATGTACCAAATAAGGGGTCTTTTTGTTTAAAAAAGCACAAGTAGACCAAAAAACTACATTTTTTTATGGAGGTGATGTTTTTTTCTTTCTAACTCTGTTATTTTCAAACACTTTTTTTAAGCATAAACTCTTAAAGAGGTGGCAATGTTATGAATCTTGCATCGAGTAGAATAGAAAGCTTAACATGACGTTTAAGTTTTGAGGCACTTTTACTTAACGACGCTAAAGAGCCAGCCATTGAAGACGAAGAAGAGAATGATGATGAGAGGATTCTTACAAAAACTGGGAAGGAGAGGGGAAGAGTATTATCAAGTGTTGGCCAAGGCTGGTTGAAGATGGAGAAGAAAAGAGTGCCCACAAAACCCTTGAACGAAGAAAAAAAGGGATTCCAGTTTTGACCCTAAAATTTAATATTTTATCTTTTAATTTTAATTAAAGTCATAAACAAAATTTGAATTGGCCTTCCACGTGGAACACCGTTAGCCACGTTAGAAAAAAATTAACAAGTCATGGAGGATAAAAAATTACAGTTTCCTTAAGGACAAGAATCAAAGTGTACCAAAGTTTGGGTGAGGGATTAAAAATAAAAACGCTTGATAGTTGAGGGACTAAAAACATATTTAACTCTTAATTTTTTATTAGAATTAAGTGGGTGGTAATATTTAATATATCATTAGCACATGTGACATCGTTGTAACATGGTCCAAAATTTGACATTAAAAATATGTGATGATATTTTTATAAATATTTTGTTAAAATTAATATTGGACTTTCTCACAATAAATGTCGATTTGGAAATTGATATTAACTCTAAGATCAATTGTGAGTGGTCTCATGACATCAATTTGTGTTTTAAAATTTTAGAAACAACGTCAATGTCTTTATCTTTTTCTTTTTTGTTTATGCAAAACTAACCATGAAAGTACAGTATTAATGGCACCAAACTCTTAGGAAGAAGTTCATCAACCCATTTAACTCCATTTTGGTGTTGTGATATTCATTTGGTTTCAAACTTTCATTCTCTATATTGCATTTCACATTAAGGTTAATGTTTAGCCATTGTTGTGTATCCTAGAGATTGTGTTTTTGGATTTTTGGGTTAACTCTGATTTTGACTCAATTTTTTTTGTTGAGAATTTTATTAGGTTGTTTTCGAAGGTAAAATTTTCAACTCTTAGATATTGGTCACAGATTCAGGGTTATGAAGATTAGATGGTAAAAAACTTCAAATAATCATAACTTTTTATTATAAATTTCAAATGAAGACACTTCACTTTCATTGTTTCAAATGGGATGACGAATACTAGTCAATTTTGAAAAGGATTCAAATTCTAATAAATCCACGACTTAATCACCATTTTTTATTTTCTTAGTATTTATCACAAAATTTTCACTACTTTATAATTATATTTAAGATACTCATACTACTTAAAAATTCTGAAACTTTAATCTTAGTTTTTATATTAATTTTTTATGATTTTAATGAAAGAAAATAGTAATGATTTTTTTTTTAGAAAAAAACACAAATTAACATATATTATAAATGCAACACAGCTTTGTCCCGATAACAAATGTTAATTTGATGTATTATATTATTACATCAAACTTGAATAGATGTTAAAAAACTAAAATATCCCATTTTAAAAGTTTTCTTTTTCTTTTCGTTTTAGTATGTGTCTTTAAACAATCATTGTTTTTATCTAATAGTTGGAAAAGTTTGAGAAAACTATTATCAAAGAAGTGATAGTGTGACTAATTTTGTTTAAGATAATAACAAAATTCTCGGTCTTTTAAATTAAAGATAATATTAAGATAAAATTTAGAATTTGGTTTAAACTGACTCATTGTGTGAATATTAAGATTATTTTTTAAGTTTTGGATTAAATTTTGGGAGAAAATAGTTATATTTGGTGACGACAGTAGTTAATGTCAAATTTTCAAATGTTGTGTCATTTCTCTGCATGCTTACTTTCTTCTCCAAATCTCTGAAACCATTTTCTCCTCCTTCTCTCTAAGATTTCTTAACCTTCTCTCTACAAAATCTCACTCTTTTCTTCTTCCGGTCATCAAGCAGACCACACCTGAGCATTCCCGGCATCGAGGGCGTTCGTTTGAACCGATCAGTTTTCGGTTCCGAGCTGGTAAGTTCATCTCTCCCTCAATTGTGTGGTTTTCTGGACATGCAAACCAAGTTCTGATTTCATGTGTTGATCACTCTTCTAAAAAGAGAGGTTATGATAGTGTTTTGGTTTTTACTTGGTTTAGTTTGAAAATTGTTGAGCGTTGAGGGTAGAAGGACTTGTAGTGGTGAAACCGTATTTTGCCTCTGTGAACGTTCGATCACGTTAAGAGGTAAGGGAAACTTATATAATTTGATTTAGATTCTTGCTTTGTATGGATGCATATTCGTTGATTTTTGAATGAATATGAAAAATGGTTGTTATTGCATTGTTGACTGTATGAGGAACTGGAATGATATTGTGTTTGATGATTTGGTTGATGATGAAATATGGTATGTTGTTTAAAAGTATTGATGATTAATGAAAGCCATGAAATGGGTATGGATGTTGTCGAGAGTCAGTATTGATCATTCAATTATACCAACGTTCGTTATCAGTAGCGTTCGTTCTTAATAAGTGTTTGGTATTAGACCAGCGCTCGTTCGATATAGTGTTCAGTTTTCCTGTGGACTCGGTTGGAACTGGGTTCTTTCATTTGGAGAGAATTCTAGTTGAAGACTAGCGTCTTCATTTCGTTTGGTAATAGTTGTACTTAAGTGTTCAACCAAGGATATTCGTTCCTTGGGATTTGATTATAAACTTCAGTATATCTATATGTATTTGTATATTTTTTTCTTTCTTGAACATTAGTTAAAAGATATCTTATATTTATCAGGCCTTTATTCTATAAGTTAAGTAGTGCTCGGTCTTACACCAAATGCTCGTACTAAGTAGTGCTCGGTCTCACACCAAACGCTCATACTAAGTAGTGCTCGATTTTACACCAAGCGCTCGTACTAAGTAAGTGCTCGTTCTTACACCAGGCGCTTGTTCTCATTTTCTGTAATCTACCTTTATAATAAGAGCGTTCGTCCAAACTCAATAGCGTTTGCTCTCTATAGTGCTCGGTCTTCGACTAACATTCGTTTTCCTTGATGTTTAACTCATTAAGAAGCTAATAT